TGCGTCATAGTGGTTAACCGGATATATACATGTCTCTGCTGGTGGGTTCAGTCAGAAATGTTCTGCTTAAAAGAACTTTTTGTAAATTTGATTTTATTATATACTCAGCTCTAATCATATTTGGTTCTTGTTCTGTCTGTTTCGGTTTAATTTGTTTCTGGTTTTTGATACTTACCTGAAATAAGTTCTGGTAATCCAAGGAGAACCCACGGCTATTAAATTTAACAACTTACTCATAAGATTTAGGTTTTGCTCAAGCTTTAAAGCTTGAAACAGTACAGTGGACCTCTGATAAATATAATCTTCGTATGAAAAGTATATTTTTTTCTACCAAGAAGTGCTAATTCCTTGCACTGCAGCAGCCATGGGTTGTGACCTCGGACCTGTGGGCACACATAATAATGATTATTAATACATAATAATACCATCCGTAATATCAACAGGAAGGGTAGGCTTGGTCGGGCTACTGAAGTCTGGCTCCCTGTTCTACTTTTAGAGACTATGAAACCAAGAAGTTAGCCCAGCCGGAACGCAGGTGTTATAGGGGGGTAATAGGGTTATTATGAGCTTTAAAATATGAAGGGGCTGGACATGACGACTGTCTTTGTAGGTGAGGAGGAGGATTTTATAATTCCCTTATTCTAAATTTTCCAGGGGGCATCTTGCTATGGATTATTTTTCTGCATCTCTGTGGCAGGATGTGTCTGATTGTTTTTTAAGTATTTTTACATAAATGAAACGAAAGGCGGCAGTCCTAGAGGTATTGCTTTATGTGGTTAATTGACATCGGTCCTGGATCAAAGAAACTCCAAGCATTCCTGCAGGGTGCTACGAGGCCAAGGTAATCCATTCGAGTACTATATCCTTCTCGCAGTGAGTCTCGGGGTGTTTGGGCCAAGTACACGAACTTTCGGTTTTGGGTCTGAGTTTACATCAGAACATCGCAGGCTCCATCCAGGTTGTGGTTATGTTCCTAAGGCTGGATGTTTATCTTTACGGTAATTGGATTAATTTTGTATACGTTGTAAGTTATCTCCAGGACATCTTCATTATAAGCGCACCAGGAGTCTAGGACGGTTCACTTATTCTTAATGGTAGTGATTTCCTGAATGCTGGGCTACTTGTGGTTTCTATAGTCTCTAAAAGTAGAACAGGAGCCAGAGCCTTCAGCTACCAAGCCTACCCTTCCTGTTGATATTACTGGTGGTATTATTATTATTATTATCATTATTATTGTGGCCCACAGGTCGGAGTCACACCCATGGCTGCTGCAGCAAGGAATTAGCCTTGGTAAAAAAATATACCTGTTCTAAGAATTAATTCAACAGAGGTCAGTGGCACTGTTGCAGTTTTTAAGCTTTTGGAGCAAAACTAATTTATGATTAATTTGTTTAAAGTATTATCGGCTCTCCTGGTTTCAGAAACTTATTTTCAGGTAATCTCAAAAAACCTAAAACCAAAATTAAACCGAAACTGACAGAACAGAACACAAATATAAGAGCTGAGTAAACATAAAATCAAATTACAATGGTTCTTTAGCAGAACATTCTGACTGAACTCACCAGCAGAGACATGATGAACTTATGCAGGTAAACCACCTGGATGCAGCCCACGTTCAGCTTCACTCTGCCATCAGTTCTGGAGGTGTCGGCGTAACCAGCACCCTCTGTGGCGTTCGGAGTCAGACTCATGGTGAAGCTGAACACCTCATCCCCCACGATGGAGATGGCCTGAAAGACAGAGAGAGTTCAACGACCTTTATTCAACCAGACTGCAGCAGCAAAGGACAGAAGTCTTCCGAGGCGGTCTGATGTAGTCCAGTTTAGAGACAGTCCTGGGTGGTACCTTTCCATGGTACTTTCAGGTCCTCTAGAGTAGTCCTAGGCAGTCTGTTATATTGTAAGGAAGTTTATTTAAGTAGTTTATTTAAGTAGTGGTAGTCTGAGGTAGTTAGATTATATTAAGATAGTCCTAGGTGATAACCTCAGGGCAGTCTAGTCTACTCTAGGGTCTTCTGGATTAGCCCCACATAGGCCCTGGGTAGTCTGAGTATGTCAACGGTAGTCTGGGGTAGTCCAGGGTAGTCTGTGGTAGTTTTATGTAGTCTTGGAGTCCAGGATGGTGAAAGGAATTCTGAGAAAGCCCATGGCAGTCTGAGAGAGTTCAGAGTAGTCTGAGTTCTTAAGTAATCGCAAATAGTCCAGGGTAGTTTGTTGTAAACTAGACTATGTCAGAGTAGTCCTAGGGAGTACCTTTAGGGTACTTAATAGGATTCTACCATCATCTGTGGCAGTATAAGGTAGTCCAGAAGAGTCTGGGGCACTCTAGGATAGTCCACGGTAACTTAATAATCAAGGCTGGTTCAGGTTAGTCTGAGGTTGTCCAGGTTTCGTATAGGAATGTTGAGAGTTGTCCAAGGTAGTTTGTATCCTACATACTTTATTAATACAGATGATCCCAATTAGCACAATCAAACCATTTATCATGTTTGAATTCACTAGGACAAGTGTGGATGGAAACTGCTTTATGTAAGACCTTCAGGTAGGAGTTTACTCTGTTCCTGATTGAATGTGATCTCTACAACTGACTGACCTTCTTGTGGATGCTTTTGGGGTCAACATTGAGGACGATGAAATCTCTTAGGCGGGCTGATATATGAGTTTGTGGTCCTTGCATCAGCAAAGAGCCGTTAATACCTGAAGGACATATCAAATTGTGAAAAACAGGGATGGTGCCAACCAACAACAGCAGACATATTTGGTGCGATTCGGTACCTTGGATCTTGATGTCGGCCATGTTGCAGCTCTGGTCGCACACCAGGACATTGAAGGCTCCCAGCGTTATCATCACCTTCAGGTCAATGACCTCACTGTCTACAGGTGACACCAGGGCAGCTGACAGGAAACACAACAACACAACACAATAAAGACGGACTGACATGTTGAGTTATCCGTTTTTGTCTTGAGACTTATAGACCCAATAGTTTATTTGAGCTTCACTTGTACTGGGACGCAACCTTAGCTCATTATGTGTGTGTCTTGTACTGACTGGATTTGGCGGACACTGTCTTGTCTTCTGTTTTCGGTCTGATTTCTCTCTCTGGAGACGAAACACTGCCAGACAACAGTGCTGCCGACAGGAAGTTGATGGTTGACAGCAGAGCCTCAGTGTGGAGCATGAGGTCAAGAGAGGTGAAGGTTACCTGGGGTGGGGAGTAAATGAGTGTAAAACACTGCAACAAGTTTCTTCTGTAGTTTAGGTACAAATAGGGACAAAAGTTAACAAAAATTGAAGAGTTAAATAATTTCTTCAAATTCAATTCAATTCAATT